GGAGGTGTTTGAATCATGGAAGTGGATCTCAAGGGGACGTTAGTGTCATCCCCTTGGTGATGAGTGAATTCCTGCTCTGAGTTCTCATGAGATCTGATTGTTTAAGAGTGTGGGCACCTCCCTGCTCTTTCTCTTGCCCACTCTCCCTCAATGCCCTGTCTCACCATGTAATGCAGTGGCTCCTTCTTTGCCTTCTGTCATGAGTGTAAATTTCTTGAGGCTCTCACCAGAGGCAGATGCTAGAGCCATGCTTGTACAGGCTGCAGAACCATCAACCAACTAAATTTCTTTTCTTTATTAATTTCCAAGCCTCAGGTATTCCTTTATATCAATACAAGAACAAACTAACATAAAAAGTGAAGGCAGGAAAATACCTAGGCCAAGAAAATACAGTGCATAATCACCTGGAAGTGTTATACAGCCTAGCTCAATCAAAGTAAGTAAATATGTCTAATATATCTAAAGCATGGCACTCACGAAAAAACTGCTGAGCAACAAGGCTGGATTGGATTGAGATAGTGGAGGACTCTGTAAGGCATAGTCCACTACCTTGAGAGCAGTGGGAAGCCTCTGAAAGTTTTCCAGTAGAAATTAGAGATCAACTTTGCACTAAACTATATTACCTTGACTGAATTGTGGATGAGTCTAGAGGCTGAGATGCCATTAAGACTTTCATTGATCATGGTAAGGGATGAGTGTAGATTGATTAAGAATTGTAACAGTAAGTAGCTATTCCCAAGTATGTCATGCACAGAAGAAACTGGCTCTATAGGACTGAAGCTGAACAGAGCGATTGATATTGAAGATGTGAGTTGAGAGCCACCTTAATATGGATGCTATAGAAACTGCTGCATTAAATGAATATATTAAGTGAGAAAAGTAAAGGAGCAATGAGTAAAACTGGAGGAAACCCAAGTTTAGCTGGTAGATAAAAGTCTTCAAAAGAGACAAAAAAAGTCATAGAAAAGCAAGAAAAATGTGAAGTTTCAAAAGTCAGAAAAGAAAATGTTTCAAAGGAATTTATGGTCCATAATTTCCAATAATGCAGAAAAACCAAGTAAAATACAGACTAAGAACTGTTCATTACATTTAATAATAAAGACATAGATCTGTAAATGTGGTAAAAAGAAATTCAGCAGAGTCCTAGAAACAGAGCCAGGCTATTGAAGTTCAAGTACAAGTAGAAGTGAAATATAAAGGCAATTTTATGTACAACTCATTAAATAACATTAACCATGAATCAGAAAGGTGGAGGGGCTCTGAGGGGGAGAGAAGGTTTGTATATAGTTCTTTTTTAACATGAGAAACATTTGAACTATGAATACTAACCAATATGGAGAGATTGAATCAAAAGATGGTCATGAAATCCTTAACAAGAAAATAAGAATGCTCCAGACACAGGTAGAGGGATTAATCATAGACACAAGGAAGTACTATCACAGTTGAAAGACAGTACAAAGTTGACAGAGTTTCTTTATGATGGCCTACATTTTCACTTTGAAGTCAGAGACAAGATTATCTGTTGAGGACAGGGGAGAAGAGAAGATCAGAGTTCTGAGGAACATACAGATGTGTTGAAAGTGTCACCATGGAGAGCAATAAAGGGAGGCAACTAATGATTCCTAGAAGTGTAGGTTGGCTCTGTTGAGGAACAAGTTGATTTTGGAAACCCAGAATCTATAATAGTACCCCTGTCTTTCAGTTTGTTTGATTTTCAAAAGCTGTAGAACTGTACTGAACTAGGATTAATCCAGTTCAATTTATACAGCATTGAGGCTTTTCAGAAAAGGTACAATAGAAAAGCAAGAAGACAACACAGTTTAAGGATATTGACAGGGCATCTAATTTGGGTTAGGAAGGATGTGAAGATGAAAGCAGACTTGTTCACAGGGGTAAGCGGAAGAGACAAAGAATCAGAAGTCCCCACATATTCCAGAAACTGTGTGGCAGAAAAAAGTATATTGGAGAATGGAGGCATAAACCTTACACATGGAGTGAGATTATTGAAGTCAATACTTCAGAAGAAGTTTGGGCTTATAAGAAGATCCAACATGCAACAATGGAATGGGATAGCTGAAGTAGCTTAAAGATAAAGGTCACATCATTGACATCAAAAATAAGAAATTGAAAGCCCAAGTCATTGCCTCGGCAGGTCATCCAAGTAGATATTGAAGCACCCAAGAAGGACAGCAGGATTGAGATTGAGAGCTCAGATGATAAAAGTCTTCACTGAAGGCAGGGAAAAAATTCTGAAAGTTGTTTTTAGTAATTCTATCACCATACAAAAAATATCATTTCAACCTGAAATTCCACCTCTTCCAGAATGTTATGATAGACATGGCTCAATCACTTTCACCCTGAGAAAATAATTTAACTCAATAACACTTGCTATTTCACATGTGTTGATGTTATTAGTAGCTTTTTAAACTCTGGATTAAAATGCAATTGTAAATTGTTCTAGATTATGAATTCACTGAGTCATATATAACTAGTCTGAATACCTCTGGGGATCTAATATAATAGTAAAACCTATAAATAATAAAACAATATGTAATTTAGAGGCACTTGCTCCTGGCTTGATGATGTTATGTAAATGATGAAAAATGCTATCTTTGAGAAGTTCAACACAAACTATAAAAGTTTAATGACAAGTTATGTTATTCACAATCCCAAACTTTTTTCTTCATTAAATATGGTTCTCTATGCACTACTAATTCTCAATAGACAATTTGTCAAGGAATAATCAGTAACAGAGAAGTGAATCTTACGCTTACTGAAATTTGTCCCCTTAAAGACACCATTGTTAGTAGAAATAAAATAATGCAGTTAAACTACTCTTTTCATCTTCTATGGAAAATGACCTACATGATATAGCCTCTTCTGAATGTCTTAAAATATCATCTATACATCAATTATTGACTTCTTTTTAAGCCCTTCTACTTGTGGAGTGGTGTTTCCCAAACAGTGCTAAGGATGGCTTGTATTATTTGTTAAGTACACATTTCTGGGTCCTAAGCAGGCACACTGAATCAAAACCTCTAAGAGAAGAACTAGAAAAGTGTTTAACAAGCCCTCCAGGTGATTCTTATTACCAGGGAAGCTTGAGAAACAACAGCTTTAGGATGTTCAGGCTTTGATCCCACATTTAACAGATCCAAGTTATAATCTTTTTGAGTTTCTTCAGAACTTTTCTGCCGTTTTTCTTGTTGCCAACTACCACTTCTTTTCATGATTTTCTTATCAATGTTCCTGTCTCAGAAACATTTCTCTCTTCTAATCACAATATATAAATTATTGCAATGTAGAAACTGAGATAGCGAAATTTGTTGAACTGTAAGTGAAATAAGAATGTGTTGGCTCTGGTTAATGATCAGGAACCACACTCATGAGTAAAACTATAATCATCTTTAAAGATGTTGTGGTATCTTTCCAGATTTTATTCACTTCTAAATGTTTTTGGTAATTGTCCAGATAATTGTCAGATAATTTATTCTAATATAAACAGACGTTTACAGTTGGACAATGCACACAAGTGTGGTTTGATTTGATTTCAGTATTTTACCAAATGCACTCATTCCCACCCAGATATATAGTACTGCATAGACACTGCCTAAATTCCACTCTTTAAGTTATAGCAGAAATAAACTGCATTTGACGCTTTATCTAATTTATTTGACAGAAAGGAAAAGATTAAACAGGTTATTTATATGCACAAATTTCCCAAAGAGAAAAACCATTAAATATAGTTTCCTAATCTAATTGCTGGATTTCACAATTAGACCAATGCTTTTCTATTTAAGTATCAGTCTTCAATAGTTAATCTGGGTAAACTGGTGAAAACTGGAGAAGAAAAAATTAACTTACAAGGCTAGAAGATGGACCTGTTTCGTTGGCTGTAAAAACGAGATTACAGGTTCTTTGGAGAGGCAACCACACATTCAGCAGTTGGTACACGAGTGAACATTTCCCTGACAATGTAAGATTACTACGAATTGATAATGACCTTAGAGAAAAGTGATGCTGACTGCTTTACATCTTGGTATTGCCTGGTCTGAATGATTTGTACCCCATTTTCATGAAGTGTTTATGTTCTCTTGCAGACTAGTTTAAAGATCCCTTTCAGCCCATTTGCTTGAAAAGAGAGGCAGAGGAGTCTTCTTGAACTATAATTAAAGTCTCAAAGAAGTTGGCTTTCTCAAAATGCTGAGCCTTACCCTCCTCCAAGTTGTTTGTGTTAGCTTAATAGGGCCACTGCAACCTGTCCCCCTCTTCCTTGCTGTGCTATTGAAACACAGTAAGAAGACCCTTTGAGCCAACCATCTGCTCTTCAATTAAACTAGCAAGCATTTTCTTTTCAATAATTTAATGTGGGCGTCTTTTTGTTTCCAAGTAACTGCTGGTAAAAATTCATGAATTAACTAGGGAAATACACTAAAGAAGGACAAAAATTTACTTGCAAGATGGAAAACTTAGGAAAGCAAGGTATGACAAGGCCACATGGTATTTTTTGCCATGATAGTTGGTCCCATATTTTCCTAAACCCTGTTATTTAACTACTTTCCAATGAGATCCCAAAAACAATTGCAATGGATGTGGCTATAAGTAAGCATGATGCAAGATTTACTAATAAATTGGACTGCTTTATAATTACCCGTGAAATAACAACACTTGACCCTGATTTATTTTGTGGGCTGCCTTTTTCTCTCTAAACATTTTGAAGTTAATTTTTTTTCTTAAAACCAGATGTTTTAACATTTCAAAGAAGATGCATGGAATGCAAACTCAAGACCAAAACTGTTTTAGGCTTGCACTCGTTATTACTGTTATTAAAGAAAGGGCCAGGGCTCCACGCAAACTGGAAATGAGCCAAAAATTCTAATTTAGATGACAGTGGCCATCTTGAAATCTTCTAAACATACAAACAGCTTTCTTTCCATTTTCTGTAAACACAGAAGCAAGGAAATATGAAAACTAGATCAGACAGGAAAAGAATTGCTCACCTCTAAATTTCAATGTGATGTAATGATGGTCCATTTTACTTCACTTTATGGCATGGGAAGGGTTCCCTTGTTTGGAATATCTAATTAAAGATGTTAAGGTTTAGTTAGTAATAAAATCTATCAACCCCCATTTGTTTTTGCAAATATTTTGACAGACAATTTTGTCTCTGTGTCTATGATTGGCTCCTTTGACAACACAGGAATTTACAATAACCTGGGCATTGGGAGCTGAGGCGTTTCCAAGAGGCTTCTCTACAGTGAGAAAAGCAAAGGGCTCCTGTTCCGTCCTCTTGATTGTATCCAGCTGGTTTCAGAAAAGCATCCACTCAGTCCACTCTAGGGCCAGAGCTCCTAGGTAGTGGTTCTAAAGGGATAAGGACAGGGAGAAGGAGGTAGGAGATAAGATAGAAATGCAAGGACCATGCTGATAACAGCAGTGACAATAATAAGGAAGGCTGACAGAGTGACATGTGGAAATGTGAGTTCATTCTAAGCCAGAACCGAACAAGCCTTTTCCTAAATGATTACTTAGGTAATCGCTTTTTGCTTGATTAGATCATTGCATTAGGACTTTGGCTCACTTTATTTATTTATTTTAAGTTGATAGGCTTTGTTAACTAACGAAGGTAAGTACTTAGAAGAAGTAACTTGACAGGACTTTTCTGATAGATTTGCACAGCATCAGGTTATAATCACTGGTTTCTAGCTAGCAGATAGCCCCTTGAGGCAGCAAGGATTTAGCAAAATATCACTGCCTGGAGAAATAAAGGCAAGGCTCATAAAATGATGTAGTGCTTTCCTGTTGTTGCTATAGAATCATTGTTTGCCAGATTACCTTGAGGGAAAGTGGCCTTCAGAGGGGGTGGTTTATGATTACTTTACACAAAATGGAATGTTGAAGTAGAATAGAAAAAGATTCGATTTTTGTATGTCACTTTTCATAGACAAGTCATGTCATAGGACATTAAAAATCAGCAATATATTGCTCCTGTATGGCCTGGGTAGACAAATACAATGGCTAGTACACATTCAGCAATAAGATGATGTAGTCTGTGTTGCAAGGAAAGGAAATGTTGGCCAGAAAATGAGGTTTGTTCTGTTACATTGACTGGGGTCTGGAATAGATAGTGATAGAGTAGGAGTCCTTTTTCAGTCATTTAGTAAATATTTGGGTGCTTATTCTGTGCCAGGCACACTGTTGGTATATTACCATGGTGAACTAAACAGATGAGTTCTCAGCCTCATGAACTCACAGTACCTTACAAAAGATCTGTAACAACTAAGGATGACAACTGTGGCACGTGCTGCAAAAGAGATGCCTGGCGATATGCAGGGGGTATTATGAAGGACTAAGGTGGAAGGTAGGTGAGGGTTTAATAGAGGAAGGAGGAAGCTGAGTAGGAGAAAAGAAGGCACAGAAAGCCTTCCTAGTAGAGGAAACAACCTGTACAACGGTCCTACACTGGAAGGCAGCTCGGGCAGATAGGAGGAGCTGAAAGGAAGCCTGTGTGGGTGGGAGTAAGGAGTAGGCAGAGTGCCCTCAGAGGTGAGCTGGGGGAGCTGAGAAGAGGCGGGATCTTCCTGGGCTATGTAAGCTCTGTTCAGGGCAAACCCCAAGGGCAACAGGAAGCCACTAACATGTTTTAACTGTCATCAGAAAATCCCAGGAAATATGATTCAGTGTTGCTACCCCTGTCTGCCATTCAAAAAACCCCCATTTTCTCCTTTTGTAATCACGGCATTACACTTATTTTCAAATACTCTTTGCTCTTATTTAAGGTCGCCTTTCAATACATTCAGAGACTTGCAGCTAATTTCTCCTTTTGCTCAGCACATTAAGAAAATGTCTAAACAAGATTCTTTTAACACCAAATGCACGTTTCAAGATTTTTCATAACAATAACCAAGAAAATCGAAAGGGTTATTTTGTGGTACTTCCTGTATAATTATTATACTATTTCTCTAAAGCCATTTCTAAATTGTGGAAAGAAAAGAGTGCTTTCGTCTCTTACGCTGATGGTAAAAGCAAATATTTACAATACAGGCTGTCCAGGAAAGAAATAGAATACACATATAATCTGTTTTTCTTGCAGTATCTGCTGCTCAATTTTATAAGTAGCTGCCGGCCAACTGTATTTCGAACCCAAACCCAAAATTTTGTGCCTTTTTGTTAAAGCGAACAGAATATTTTGCTTAAATATGTCAAAGAAATTGTTGAGAGTCATTAAGGGCTTTTGGTTGGCTGGTTTGCTTTTTTGGCAATTTGGAATCTCATTGTGAAACAGCTTACAGAACCATGTAGCAGAAGAAGAATTATATTGTTGTAAAAGCTCAGTACAAGCCGAAATCGACATTAGAGTATGCATTTCCAATCACGAGTAGGTGGTACAAACACGAATCCTACTGAGAAATAATGAGATGTGTGTACATATGAACCTCCTGTGTATCTTTTTGAAAACATATCCCCAAGAGAAAATGACATAAAACAACTTGCAATTAAACTTTATTTGATGCCAGATGAGAAACAAATGTTTTAAAAACCGTAATTTTTAATACAATAATTATTTGCTTTGCATGTGCAGACCAGCAGCTTCTTATACCACTCCAATTCCTCAGCCAACATTTATTTCTGAAGTAACTCGATAGAGGCTGAGATTTTAATTGCATTTTCCCCCGATTCGTATATGTACTCTGTAAGATTTTTTAGAGAAATGAATTTTTTCAGTCTGACTTTTGAAGTCACATATAGACCATTCTGAAATTGAATGCTTGCTTTATAGATGTTCCATAAGAACAAAAATAGTGTATTTCTCAATCTACTGTATGTAAATAGCTCATAAATTTTTCCAGGACTACAGAGTAGTTTCTTTTAGATTTCCAAACAGTATAACTATTTTTCCCAAGTGCTTCAACTACCAGAACCTCATTTTAACGACAAAAATTTGGAAGGCTGTCTGCTTACAAGATAATGGACACACCTTCATAGTACTAATTCATTGGCTAAAAAGGAGCATGATGATAGGAAAACACAAATCTGTAAAAAAATTAGCAGAATGTATGGTTTGTAACCACAAGTGCTTATGCAGACATTTGAAAATCAGCACTTCAACTGCATTTACAATATACTAGTTGTTCGTTCTAAAGGTAAATGCTTGTTACACATGTGGCAGTATGAGCCATTACAGTCCTTCTAAGGGTCCAAGGCCAGTGGACTGAGGCCATTGAAGTATAAGGCAAAAGAGTTCACAGAATACCTACAAGCATGTGTATTAGTAATAAATTATTTGTATAAACATATATGTACATAATAATGTTTATATCACTTTACAGTTTAAAAATTGTGTTATACTCACAACTTCATTTAATTTTCACAACAAACCTGGGAGACAGTTATTGCTACTGTCATATTAACAATGAAGCGTCTGGCTCAAGTAAGTGATATGACTTGCCCAAGATGACTGAGAAAATAATTATTAAACTGAAAACTGGTCAGTTTTTTTTTAATGATTGACTTACAGTAACTTATAAAAAGTTTCAGAATATTTCAGGATAGGACCACAATGTGACAAAATCTAACACACCTGTTTTTTTAAAAGCTCTCCCTGCATATACAGTCACATATTGTTGTAGGGAATTTTCAAATATTCTAAAATTAATGTATCCATCCTAATAAAAAGGTTTTAATGGGGCTTAAAAAGTTTCTTCTTCCAGCCTCTTCCATTCAAAGCCAGTAATAATCAAAGCACAGTAATGATCCTTTGAGTCACCCTCAGAAAGGGAAAACTGTAACCATTAAATTTAGATATAATTAAAACCAAGGCATGATTTTACACAAAACTGATTTTTTTACTTAGTTCATAATAACAAAGGAAAAATTACTATAAGATACAACAATATCCACCAATTTCTATCCACTGAGTATCTTCTATAAGATATCCTAAAGACTTAAGAACAGGAGACACAAAATTTGAATCCAGTATTAGAGATACATGTATAAACATGAATCATCTACTTGAGTTCTTGAAAAGGACTAGGCAACTTTTGATTATAACCTTAAATGTGTGCTACTACATGCAAATGTGATGAGATTTAATTTTTAATTTTCTTTTGTTTATTTGGCAAACATTTAACATCTACAGAGGGAAGCAAAATTCATTATGACATACAGGCTTATTACAATCTTACAATCTAGCAGAAATGGTAAGACACGGCGTGAAGACCAACTGCATCTTGGTTGCCAACCCACTATGCTAACTTCTGATTAACCTCAGTTCCAAGAAGGAACTGGAATCCTTATTTCCAGTATATGTATTCTTCTTTGTGTAAGAAAATGTACTTACCATAAATCTTGCCCTTAGGTCAAAACGACCTTGACCATCAATCCTGCCTGTTACAGGTTCACACAGCACCCTTTCCTTTCCCTGGGAGATCAGCTTCATTGTCCTACAGGTTACTTCCCTATAGTATATAAGCCCTGGGTCTGGGGGTAATAGCATAGGGATCCAGCATCTTGTCTTGCCACTGCCCAAGACACAGACATGGCTTCTATTCATAAGTCTTTATTAAATGTTTCTTTCTAAGCAACTGGATTTATCAGCCTCTTTCTTCAGCCTCTCAGCTTCCTCAGACTTTGGGAGTATGTTTGTGTAGGTCTGCCCATCATGGAACATATGGACGCTGCCACTTAGACCCTTATTGAAAGGAAGACAGCTATGCTAGACTACGGAAGACCGATAGAGTCTGAGAGGCAGATTTAGGGAAGAAACAAATTCCTCATACAGAGTGTGATGAGAAAGGAACAGAGCATGCTTAGGCAGTGCAGGTAGTCCACTTTGGCTGGGCTGCAGGTTATAGGAAAGGTAATCATGATGACCGAGTCTAAAGATGTACACATAGGCCAGACCTTGAAGGATCATGAATACCAGGCTGTCATCATTTGACTTTATTCAGGAGGTAAGAAAGACAATTAAATGTTTCTCTCAACAATGTCAGAAATATATTAATGTGGACATTATACAGGATGAATAAGGAAAGAGAGATTGAATAGGTGAATCCCCACTGGGAAACCAAAAACCCACGTGACAAAATCCAGTAAGATTCTGAGAGCAGGCATGGAAAGAAAGGGACAGATGCTGAAGATACTGGGAAAGAACTGACAGGTCACAGAAGCACATGATGAAACTGATTGAATGGATGTGAACAAGCAGAGCAGGGGAGAAGAAAGAGGCAAAGCAACTTGAAGGATGAGTAACCCAGAGAATAGGGCTACCAGAAAGAAGCTCAGAAAAGTTAGCACATGGGTGTTTGGAGAAAGGAGAAAACATAAAGAATAGTTTTGAAAAATATTCAGCTTGAGATGGAAGTCTCCAGGCCCGTCATCTAGATGAAAATGCCCAATAGGGAGGTGGATATTCGGGTCAAGAAACCAAGAAAAAGATCAGACTGGCATATTGGTTTGGGAGCTTCTAGAATGAAGTCAGATGGCTAAGGACAAAAAATATACATTTTGAATGTGGTTATACCTGGGAATGGTCTCCAAAGTTAAATGTAGGTTTCAGAAGGGAGTCATATTTAATATTTACATTTTAAAATTTGTATAAACTGTTAATACATAATAAAATGCCTTTCAAAGCAATTTTCCTAGACTATTTCCTTCTTCATAAGTTCTGGTTTATTGGCAGATAGATAAATATCTGATTTATATCTCATATTTATTATTTTATTAATATATAAAATAACCAATATTATGATATATAATCTCCTTTGAAATAATCCAGCGGGTTAAGATTTGTAAATTTCTTTTGAAGTGATATTATGCATGGAAAACCTTGTAGCAAAAGAGATGAGAAGCTGGAAACAGTTTCTGCAACACATCACTTGACAGGAAGTTATCAGAGTGAAGTCTTATAGGTAACAATCTTATAACCATACATGGTGTTTGTACTAGTTACCATACAGATAGGAAATGAAAGGTCCATTACGGTTTCTTATCAGTTGTATATTGGTGTAATTTAGAGAGTTTGATAGCATGAACCTGAACTGCAAAAGCCTCCAGACAATGCCCTGTTATCAGTCATCTAAACTTTGAGTTTAAACAGCGATGTTTGTAGACTTTCTCTTGTCTCTAAAGGACATTGTCTTCCCAAAACATTTAGCTGAAGCTGTTAGTTTCATTCCCTTCTAATATTTTTTTTTTCTTAACCTTGGCACCTAAAAAACATATCAGCCTTCTAAGATTAAAATAATACAGTGTAATATCATTGGGCTACAATTAAACACAGTCTGTGTATGGCTTGCTTCGATATATAGCGATGATATGATACAGAGTCCCTATGCTAATCTCTCAGATTTTCAAACTGATCATGTTCACCTTTTTGCCCTTTTAGAGGGATTTTCACAAATGCTTGAGTTTTCATGTGTTTAGTTTCCAATATTGAGATATCTTAGACAATGACAAAATATTGCATGATTCTCCAACTCGTTGCCTACTAGGGCTGAAGACAACCATCTGGATACTCACTAGGTAGCCAGGAATCAGGGAGAGCTTCCCTGTGAGAGATTGTGGCAAGGGCAGGAAGCTCTAAACCGCATCAGTAGAGCAGGGAGAGCCAGAAGCCATGGAAAGGAAAGGTAAAAACAAAACAAACAAACAAAAATTAGGAAAGAAGCTAAAAACATTTTTTAAACAATGATAGGAGATATCAGGTGGGGAAGGTGCACGTACCTAGACTGTGGTTTATATCAGTACTGTTCATAAGAATAAGCAGGACTCTGTGGCCTCACTGGACTTCCCAGGATTAAAGATCCAGGTACAGAATGACTCAAACAGAAAAGCTAATTCCACTTCTCCACCAAGGATGGTTCTCAGTTTGAATTCAAATTACTGCTTCCATTTACATATTCTAATCTTGGAATAGCCATTGAATCAACCTGTGTCCTGCTTCTACATTTATTATTGGCTTATATAAATATTAACTTCTTTCATCCAGTTCCTACTACTGTAGCAGAAATCTAAGGGCAGACTTACTGCTGCTGTAAAGAAATTAAATTCTTACCCAGTTTAAGCTAGGATTTAACCCACACTGGATTTCCTATTGTGAATTTTTTATTTTTTCACCTCAGTAAGGAGCAGTAAAATTATCGTTATCATCATCTTCACTGCTCCCTTTCCTGCTAGTACCACACAACCCCAGTGTTTCATGGGCCTCTCCTAGTGTGGCACTGTGGTTTGAGAAAGAGGAGCAGAGACCCTCTACAAGCCTACCTTCTGTTTCCAAAGGTTGTGCTTAGCGCAAAATCCCCACTTTCAGGGCTGCTGCTTCTGTCTCTAGGATGGTTTTCAGCAGCAATCTTTGATAAAGGCAACAACAGCAGGTGGGCCTTCAGGACACAGTAGCAACTCCTAGTGCCTTTTCCCAAAGAATCTGTCTGATTTTTGTGTTAAATGGCACCCCTGAACCTTTCTTTGACTGGATAATCAACAGTGTTATATTGCTTTCTGCAATTACAAGCAACAATTCCCAAACTCTGTTCTTCAAGGCCACATGCATACACACACACAAACACACACACAGGCACATAGCTAGAAGCATTGTTGTCTCCACATTTATTTTATACATGAATTTAATATATAAAAATATTGAATAAATGTGCAAACAACTACAATTGTCATACAATTCTCTGCTTTTAAGAAATGCACACCAGGACACGCAGAAGTCACGAGAATGACTTTATAACTTTTAACCTACACTTTGATGCCGTATTTACCACTTAACCCTCAGGTTGACATGCATTGTCTATTTGAAAATGATTGGTTTTTAGTAGCATTTTACAACTGTAAGATACTGTATGCTTTTAATATTTGTCATATATGAAAAATTTATACCTCATGATCCTGTTTACCAGGAACTATAATTGAGAAAAGAGGGCATTAAACAAAAGAACTATAATTGAAAAAGGAGGGAATTAAACAAAAGAAGAGTCATGTCGTTTTCAAATTGTGTCTAAGTAAAACATGTCAACAAGTAAAATTCAG